TTTTCCTGTGAGCCTGTTGCAGATCCGAAACACTTCTCGTGTATCCAAGACTTTTTTCTAGAACCGATCTGTACTTCTCCGACAGCTACAGTAACGAAATATTGAAAGTTAGTTCCATTAGAAGTTGCTGGTCTTTTTCGCGCGAATTCATATTTTTTGTATTTCCCTTAGAACTTTATTTCGTCACAGTCTTCACTGCACAGCCAGGTTGTATTTGTTATAATGACCTAGGAACGGCATTTTCAACTATACAAGTTTGGATTGGGAGGGCTGAAGATTCTTGCGATGTTATCAGTGGTCTCTATATTTCATTAATATAACAGTGTAGCTGTTTTTGTCACCAATACTGATTGTTTGATTAGACGTTAAATTGGCTGCTGAACGCTTCAAATGCAAGAAACCGCTGTTCTGTTTGTAATTCATTGGCATATTAAAAGGCGTATGTGGAGAGAGGCTTTGAGAAGTGTTTTACTTCTTCAACTAGATTAGTACAAATAGATACTTCACTCACAGTGCAAACCAGCATGCTTCAGAGGTTCATTCGTAGAGCATTATAACAATCATAGGTTTCCTTTCCGGGATAAGCAACCAAAACTGGTTGCGAGGATATATCCATATTAGGCTTCCTGTTTAAAGCTTTGATTCATGCTATCAGATACACATTTCCTTTTGGCGGGATACTGAGCAATTGGCAGAAAGTGAAATGTCCTTTACTGCAGTGCTCGTTTCTTATGTCGCGGCGTTGTTCTCGTAGTTTCCTGCTAATTTAACCGTGAATTGTTTTCTTTTTCTTATCCGCAATTCTCCTCATAATATAAAAGCGATTTCAAGGTTGCAACTTGAGACAGTTTACTCGCCTTGAGTGTACAGTTTTGTCCAGAAGGGGATGCAAAAATCACGCAAATCATGTATATATACATATAGATAATTATACATAGATATTTTCCAGATCACTCTTTTCTTAAGCGATTGAGGTCTTGTTGATGTTCCCTTAAGTTGCAGCCTCATTTTTACAACCTATTAAGCTTTCAGTAATGATTTTTTTCTGGCATGCTTTCTTCCTGTTCTCTACCGCGCAGTTATACTGAAAGCTGGTTTTAGCGAGTAAGACCTGAATAAAAAGACGTAAACAGTCATTTTGAATTCCTCTTTGAAAATTGAAACTTTTTCACTAGGTCTTGTGCCTTGGCGGTTCAATGACAATCATTTGTTCACTGCTTGAAATGTATTCCAAGCACATTTTAGTCGTTTACTTGGCGATATGTTTCTTCTGAAAACTGCAAATTTTGCCAGATTCCCGCTCAACATGCTTACTTAAGAGTCCTGTTGGAATCTGGTGTGAGAACTTTTATTGAGCGGAAATGCCGGGGTCTAAGGGAGTCCAACGTTTTTTGTGTATTACCACCTATATTATAGAAGTGTCATATGACCTACTTCCGTAAACATATGCTAACCTTTTTTTCACACGTCTGTACGCGCTGTTTATCAATGTTTTATCTGTTCGTTTTTTTCAACTCCTCGCAATTCAGTCCTTTCGGCTGAGATTTTAGCGGAAATAAGGGAGTATTTTCAGCTTTCAAAATGTCTTTTAACCTAATTACTGTAATTGCTTCGTTGAATGCCCCCAGCTCGTCAACTTTTATAAAAAGTAACTTTGGAAATGTGGAAGAACCTTGCGTGAGTAGGTTTGTAGCCTCGTAAAACGGTGGCGTTCTGAGAGAACAAAGTATTTTGTGCTGAGTAAGAGAACATTAAAATTAGTACTGAAAAGTAAAAAGTATCAAAATGGAACCGAACGGATGACCTGAGGAAAAAGGGGAAGTATATTCTTGACCTAATTCCCAGTATTTCTTCTAAATTTTCTTTTCTCGTGTGCATTTAGACATACATCATGAGGCATCGTTCTTCATCTCGTTGTGTAGTCACTGCGGTAGTTTGCTAATTCAGGAAGACTGTTGCTACGTTTTTCATTTCTTCCATTGCTCATGATCTGTTGCTGACAAGTGTGCGAAAAAGCGTAACATGAACGAGGAAAGTGATGAAGAACTCGCGGACAAAAAAAAAAGTATGGTTCTTTTTTTTAGTGACGTGAAAGACTGACTACTAAGCTGATTATCACCTTTCACAGCGAAAATGAGGTTTATGGCGGAAGGACAGAAACGAAGGCTGGATGCTTCGGAATTGTATAGGTTGAGGAAGAAGGTGAAGAAACTGGAGCAGGTGTGTTCTGAGTATGCCTCACGCCAGGCGGTTGCTACTCGGGAAGTAGCGTGTCAGACGACTCCGGAAACTCGAGATGTCAGATTGGAAACGACGCAGCAAAGAAAAATCTTGCGAGTTTATAGGATCCCGGGAAAACTAGTGGTAAGAAAAGAGGCACTGGAATTTAGTTCACCAGTGTAAAACCAATTCCAAATTGTAATTAACCAGTTTCAGTGGGCTAGGCCCCCTAAAATTGTGACTTTCGTGAAATCAGAGTGCGGTCTCCGAAATGTCAGGAGAAATGAGCCGTCCGCGACGCAAAACGCCAGTGAATGACGAGTGTAATTTGAGCCCGCATGTTTTCAAATTACTTATCATTTTGTAAATAGTCTGGGAGTAATTTGCGAAATAAAGTTGTTTTCACAAAAGAATCAAGGAGTAAGTAGCGCCTGTCGCGAATGCATCTGAACCAGATACTGGAGGATAGAAAAATGAATTATTCAGAAGTGAAAAGTAAAGTATGATACATAAACACACTGTAGTTCGAATTCAGAGTAGCACATTTCTGAGTAGCTAGCGAGCTCCAATACGGTATTTTCCTCGCCGTACGGAAAGTTTCTGCGATAAATTGGAAACGAATTTTGTCACGTGTTCTGTAATTTGTGATCGAGACCAAACTCATTGGGACTCAGTAGTTTTTTAGATTTTCCGTGTATTCCACTTTGGAATAAATATTGCAGATTTAGTACCGCTAAACATGTGTATAGGGAATATAGAAGCGGAATTTCAAAGCAAAAAAATTCCTTTTTGGACCTTGAGAAACGTAAACTTTTTTGCTTCCCAAAATATAAATTTTCTACTGCGCTTCTGACTTGTGAGCTATGCGCTTAGAAGCGAAGCGAAACTAGTAGGAATGCAGTGTTGTTAAAATCATCGTACATATTTTAAGGTGGGATAGTCATTTTCAGCTATAGAACTTGTTATGAAAAATCGAGGACTGTCACTGACATTCATTACGCTTTAAATGCTAGCGACTGTTCAAAATGGATGCAGTTTGCATGAAAAAAACTAGCTAGTTATCACTCTTTGGTTACAAAAAATTTGTTTTCATGGCCTAAGGCGTCAGAATAAGAACTTTACGTAATGTAGAAGAGGCTTCTGGGCTGTCGAAAGCATCTATTTAATGGAAGTCTCTTATGTTTCGTTCCCTCTAATCAAACCCGAGCTGAGCTCAATGTTCTTTTGCTAACCATTCACACTACAGGTATTCGATATGGCGCTGACTCTCACGTCCCCTGAGCTATGTAACTGATTTACTTAAAATTCTCTCGCCCAGTCGTGTTCGTTAAAACACTTCTTTTGGACAACACCCAATTCCCGTTTCCTATCATGCTCTTCCCAATTGGACTGCCATCCACTTCGCTTATTTAGGACTGAAGAAACTACAGATACTTCTATCTGTAACAGTACTAGCCAGAAAAATATGAAACGCTAATCAGCTCGTACTTCAGAAAGATCTTCCAAAGGAGTTCCAAAGGAGCTAACTAGAAGATACACAATCAAAAAGGTCATTTTAATCAGTTAATGAAAACCACTCCAACGCACGACGACAGAAACGATGGATAAAAGACATCAATAAGTAACCAAAACCACATAATAACAGATGAGTAATAAAAAACGAGGGCTTTCAGTTGTCTATTCATTTCAAAGCCCAAAGTTCATCTTTGCAAATGTAACTTTTAGCAAGTCTCAAGTACAAAAAAAAAATGCTGAAACCGCATATCATACCACGAAATACCAAAAATCCAATGAGTACACTTTCACTTCAAACCATATGTTTAATCAAGGATGACAAGAATTTAAACCATCAGTTTTTAAGCATCTATATCAATGCATCATCAACACATATAAACAGACATAATAAGTTAAAACATATTAAACCAAACAATATAAGTGGTAGTAACTGTAAGTACCACTGGCTTAGTAAGATAATACACCATAAAAACAAGCTAATCTTGTCTTATCGTTGAGTACACTTAGAAGAGATATTTACAAATTTCGAACAGTTACATAATTTGAATCATTTGAAGGTATTCCCAACTGTAACGCCAACGTCTTGCTCAAGCACCTTTTTGTCTGCAGCCGCATAAACCCATCTGCACATTTTTTGTACTGATAACGAGTAAAACCTACAGGGACCTTACACTTATGTTTCTTCAAAAGATGGCGGCTTAAACCAAACCCGTTAGCGTACCGAGCCTCACACAAATGGCATAAATGAGTAAAAGGTTGGTATCCCTGAAAATGAATATTTTTTCAACCCTCTAAACTTTGAGCCAATAACTTTAAAGATTGTCAGATATGAAACACCATGCTGTTTTACTACTATTCGCTGATATTTTTGTAGTACAACAACAATGAAAAGTACGGGCTTATTCATTACTTTGCTACACCCAATCCTCTTCCTAAATGAAAAATAAAATAAAACATCATCGAACAGTCCCCTACATGCCCAGTGAATTTTGTCAAAACAGATTCAAAAAGAAACGCGCCAACCTCTTTGTGTTTCCTCATGTGCGTAACCAACTGTTTTCGCCAGTGGAACTTGTCACCACATTCAGCACAAACATGAGCAAGGTCATTGGAGTGTATTGCCCCAACGTGTCGATCCAAGTCAGCTTTTTGTGCAAACCTACAATACTTATCTTCTTAAAACATCTTCATCCAGGCATAAATCGTTCCTGTACAGAGATCAATGAACAAATTATGATGCTAAATAACTGCTACTATTCACCGTACGGACAAGACTGTTAAATATACAGTATCTGGCAGTGGTTTTAAAACCACACTCAAATACTGTATTTATAAGACTAATTTAAACAGCTTAAAGAGAAGGTAATAAACTGGAAAAAAGAGCAAAAAATATGACACAATTTTCTTCAAAACAATTGAAAAGTTGTGTGAGTATTCAAAATGAAAAATAGTAGAGCAAAAAAACAAAAATTTAATGCAAAAAGCAAGCTAAATATGAGTTAAAGTTTTCAGCTGGGACTGCTAAATATTAAATAGGTACTAATGCCGCTGAAAAAACTACCTTATTTTTGAAAATGATAAACTAGCAAACAGAATCGTAATGAATAAACTTTTCCAAAGTTACGCTGTAAAATGTCAAACACCTGCAACCTTCAGCAACCTTAAGTTTTTCAATCTCCAGTAAATTAGCACTTTCTAGTAAAAGGCATGATCCCAAAGCAACCTGACAACTGCAATTTAAAACACAAAGCCTATAAAATAACACCTACTTCCGGCTGCAAAGGTTGCAGCAAAACTGCCGAAGGTTTGCGTGAACATTTAGTATATGTCTATGCAAAGCCGATGGACAGTCAAGAGTAACAGAACAAAACTGGCATTTATAATTCATAACATGTCGTCGAATATGTTCCCGCAAAAGCCTCTCCGAATTGAAAGTCTTCTGACAAAAATGACAAGCGACAGCGCTAGAAGTTGCTGCATCATCGCCTGAACCATTTGAAGGTTAAAAAAAAATGCTCAACAAAATCAACAAGGAGTGGTAAACACGTGTTACTAGTAACTCCCAAAACCCCTGTTACAATAAATATATTTCAAAAAAATTCCGGGAAATTTTTAAAAAAGCTATAGCTACTTTTCAAACATACCATTTGGTGACAGTTTCCTCACCATATGGTTGAAAAGCTTTGAATTATTGGAGAAGAACGTCCCACAAAATGGGCATGCTGTACTTTTATCTCCAGAATGATGGCGTACATGTGTACGCAAGTTAGATTTGTTTCGAAAAGTCATCTTGCACCCTGCAAAGAAATAGACTTAAAAAAATAAGAAAAGAAGAGTAAATAAGAAGTTTTGCCACCACATTATTTAACAAGCGCTAATAAACGAGATGGGATTTTAGCTTCAAAACTGAGTTAGAAGACTGTTTAAAAGACGAGGCAGTAAGCAACTAATAAGATAAAATCATTTGCATTAATCAGCGGAAACGAAGCAGGGTATACCATTCCATCCGCAACTATACAACAACCGATGATCACGATCACTACTTCGCAAAACATTAAGGTGTTCCTGAATGTGGTCCGCATAGGAAACAACATCATCAAAAAAAAGCTGCAAAATAACACGACCTGAACTGCAGAGACTAAAAGAAAGAAAGAAAAGTGTATTGACAGACAAATAAAAAGATCTTGGCTACTTTCAGAAATGCTGAAAAATCCTAAATTATCATTCAACGCCATAGAAGTGAAGTTACTATGACTCAATTTCCATACATAGTTTTGATAACGATCATGATAAGGTCATAGCTATATAATCCATAAAGTGAACAAATTTTAACTACCAAACCAGTTTTCCCTACTCCTCAAGAGGCCAATTTCCAAGAGTAACTTATCTCTGTGAAATAGCATTTTTGGGCCCCGTTGTCATAATTTTTAAAATAAAAATGAATTACAACAAACATGAACATGACAGGTGATGTAGCTTAATTAGAAAGAAATGTTGCATACTAGCAATTTCTTCCCTACCTAAAACGTTAAAGCGACATAGGGTCCATAAGCAGCAGTAAGGAAAAGAAAGCCATCTTATAAAATATCTACAAATTGTTAATCCTACTAAGTCGGTGCGATAATACCAAAAATAGTCATTTCACGAGCAATATTACCAAGACAGAACAGAAAAATCGCACTCTTTCCAAGCAAGAAATCTTACGTTACATCCTTCCCATTCACAACGCAAGAGTGTCCCATCATAAACGAGTTTTGATGAAGCCGGAAAACCGCAGCTGAAATGCATTCAAAAAGGCCGTTAAAAAATTTGTTGTAGATTACAAAAAAAATAATACATAAAACTCATGAACGTAAATTTTTAAACTTATGTGGATAAAAATTTGAGGCGAAAGCCTTTAAATAGTGTTATATGTATCTAGTATAAATACAAGGCCATATTCTTCTTAAATTGCGTACCTCTCCAAATGTGCAAGCTCGTTTTTCTTAGTAATAGCAATCAACCCAGCATGCTGTCTTTGAGCGTGGAATATATGCATATGCAAGTGGCGCTGAAGTTCTACAGTAGATGACAGAAAATGAGCACATCCTTCAACTGGGCAAACATTATTGTCGTTATTGCTAACATCTAAAAATAAAGTAAAAAACCAAACTAAAAAATGAAGAAAAAACACCTTGTCGCGTTATCTATTCTTAAACTGTCGCTGAAATGCTCCCCTAAATACCTCAATTAGAAAAACTATCACCGCTTGGTAACTGCTGAATATGCTCTTTGATGTGGTTCGTCAGCTCCTCCAGTTTTTTAAAACAGCCGCAGCAGTTGACTAATAGACAACGGCATTTGATCTAAATGAATCTGATTGGTTTTTAAAGTTATTTTTATAGCCAAATAGAATCCCTTAAAAAGTCTTCAAATAATGAAATACCTACCACGTCATCCTTGCGAAAGACCCATGAAAACATGTAATCGTTTTGAACTTCCATAATGCCAAATATATCTGCTTCTTTTAGTACTTTTTCTGGCTAGAAGCAGTAATTGTTTTTAATGTTATCCTCCTTGACGGTTCAAATGCACACGAAAGGGTGCACAGTCAAAGTTTGCACCAACCGACCCAACCAAAAACGATGTAAAGGCACCTGTCACTGGAAAAAACTTAAGCATTAATTTCACAATCCGAGAACGGATCACCAACGTATCGTCTAATGGACAAAGTTTGTACATGTTCATGCACAACAATGAAAGATCCATCCATAATTCAGTCTGGGTTTTGAAAGTATACGTCCAACCCAGAGGAACCAAAGAAAAAAAAACTGCCCGACCATGGCATCACGCAAACAGAGCTCGAATGTGCCCGAGTTCCCTCAGAAAAAAAAAATAAAAAACATGTTTCAATTTAACAAGAAATAGCCGCCACCACTTCAGTTTTAAACAAGACCTTCATAGCTTGATAACGTGAATACAAAGTTAACGGCTCAAATTGACGTCTTCCCTCGGTTAAACTAGTTGTTCTAAAACTACCTAAACTCTTCGAACGAATGGTATCAAGTAAAAAGCTTCAGCAAAACGTCCCCCAGATAACACTAATTTTCACGAAAGATTTCCCTTCGTAAATCATCCACAAAACTCAGCCCTGCCTCAAGCACATTAAAGTCCACCCAACAGGTCGCTTCAAGCTGTTAAAGACACGATTCCTCAAACAAAAACTTGATAAGAGACCTCCTGTATCTTCCCGAAACACACTGGGGAAAATGGATCCTTTTCAAAAATAAACCAAAAACCAGACAACAAGTGAGCAATAGACTGAATCTTTACTTGCTAACAACAACCTCTCGCTACTGTTACACGTAATCAAAACAAAAATTTCGACAGAAGTAATGGGAAAAGCACAAAGTCCCAAGGTATATACAACCACTTTTTACCCGCTAATCTATAAGCAAAACGGTGAAAGACAAACAAACGTAACAGAGGGACAGGTACTACCGCTCCAAAAATATAAAGAAATTTCAGCTAATTTCCTCCCTTCACGTTATGCGAAACAACAATGTTTGTTCTTTTAACCCTATCTTCAAAACTCGATTCTATGAAGGAGACACGTGAACTCTAACGGAATATACACGGAAAACATAATAACATCAAGAGGCAGATTTCTGATAATTAAAATTAATAACATAAGCAACCAATCTCTAAGTGGAATTAGAAAAAGTTCGATGGTATCTAATAGATATATCTCATCAAAAAAGCTTATAATGTACAAAAATATTTGCTCCCTTACTTCTTTATGCAGAAACACATTTTATACATAAAAACTGAAAAAACTTTTAACGATTTGGATTATATATTTTCTTTTTGAGCCGCGTAATACGCCAAGCGTTCTGATCTTCATATTTATTGTACAGCGGCTGTATTGTCTGATTCTTTTTGAAGGCAGAAAGTTTTGTATTATCACCCATCTTGAAGAATGAGGGAGCATATTCAACAAGCCACTTTGGATCAATAGAAGTGACCTAAATAAAAGGTGATAAACGATAGGTCATTAACTGCAAAACAGTAGTGGTTTTTAAAGAAAACTATTCATTTACTTGATGCATGTATTCCTTCGTTGTCATAACCAATTCATGATACACAACCCACTCAGGTTGATTTTGGAATAAGGCGCTAGACGGATGAATATAAACATTTTGGCCATCAACCAAGGTCCTATATCCCTCCTAAACAGGAGAAGTTACAACCTGCCTAATATAATATGTTATTGCAGTCTAAGACCAAAGAATGTTTCGACAGGTCCTTATTCAACAAAAAATTGAAAAACAAAAACCCACTGCCTCCTCGACAAAAGCAACCTCCGTACACATTAGTCATAAAATACCTGTGGGTCACGCTTCGCGGCATTACGGAAAAAGCCTGAACAAATTGCCTTCTGAACACGCTGCACGTCTTTGCCGCAACTAATAGTGTTTAATTTGTGGCGATCCATTATACTCAGCAATTGTTTCCGAATATCCTGTAAATCGGTAATATAAAAAAAAACACCCAAGAAGGATCAAATCGAGCTTAGTTTCGCAAGAAGTAAAACCCAAAACACAAACCTGCGCTCTTTTCAACGTCCGAATCTGCACGAAGTTTTCATAACACCACGGTTGAGAAAAGTGATGAATCTTCCATGAATTGTATACTGCTAATAAAGTCAAGTGGTCACCTTCAGGTTGGTGAAACTTAGACTTTTTTTGATCAGCTAGTTCTTGTTTATCCTGCAAGTATAAAGCCATGCACAATACTGAAACGTCAAAACTAGTTAGTCATCAAAATTCTTCGAACTGATCTTAGAATGAGCAAACCTTCTGCCGATAAAAAACATTCTGCACGGAGAGCATAGATACAATGGTCAAAACTTCGTCTGAACAGCACAGTTCTACAGACATAATTAACAGCTTTGCAAGGCTGGGCTCGAGAGGAAATTCAGCCATCTAAAAATTTCTTCACAAAACAAATCCCCGCCCCAAAAAAAAAACCAAAATTACTAAAAAAGTCCGAATTATCTCACAAAAGAGCATTTGCATATGGTTGCCTTTAAATCTTAATTAGATATAACATATGCTCACCCTTCTACCTAACTGTGTTAGTAAACCATCATCATCCAAGGCACTAAGCGTATGCAACTGAGTAAGGGCTGTAATCATAGCTTCTAAAGGAGGTGCATCCATGAAATCAAAGTCGATTAAGTTGTTGATCCCCATAGCTTTCAGCTGCAACAAAGTAGAAGCAAGATTTGTCCTCTGAATTTCCGGTACAGGGACAGGAAGCATTTCATCCCTGAAATGTTCAAAAAAAGTAACAAGTTACACAAAATTTACTAAATAGCAGGGTGGTTTACTAAAGAACCTAAAAGACTAAATATACCTGAATGCTCTTTCTGTATAAAGCCTATAACACTTTCCAGGCCCTGTACGACCAGCCCGGCCAGCTCTCTGAACTGCCTGTGCTTGGGATATCGGTGTAACAACAAGTGAATCCATGCCGCTTTTAGGATTATAAATTTTTTGTTTTACAAATCCTGGGTCAACAACATAAAATATACCATCGATAGTTAACGATGTTTCAGCAATGTTCGTAGCAATAACAACCTTAATTAAATTTATAGAATTTATTAACAGCTCAATCAACACTAAAAAATTGACAATTTTTAATTTCTAATTTCAGCCTCGGGAAACCAATACATCTACTTACTTTTCTACTTCCAGGAGGAGCAGGCTCGAAAATCCTAGTTTGCATTTCACTGGGAAGAGCACTGTAGACAGGAAGAATAATCAGTTCAGGAACATCCGGTCCCAAACTCTTCATCCTTTCATAAAGTACCTCGCAAGAGGTGTCGATTTCCTCCTTAAATGAAAAGAAATATATATATATATATATATATATATATATATA